CCCCCCAGCCATGCCCTGGCGGGCGCCGAGGCCCGGAACTTGGTCAAGGGCGACGTGTTCGGCAGCGCCAAGGTGCGCGAGCGGGTTCGGGGGAGGCCGCGGCCTGCGCTGGCGGGGCGGGAGTGGCAGGGGGAGCCGTGCTGTCTTGCGCGTCGGTAGGTTTCTTGGGTGATCGCTCCCCCGGCTTGCACGGCCTTTGGCGTGCAGCAACGCTTTCTAAGTGAGGTGGTTAGTTTCTCCCGTGTGGCAGGTTAGGCTCGTAGGACTCAGAGGGCTAAGCCTAGAGCTTCTCTCTTCGGCTTGAAAGAAGCTTGCTCGAGCCTCACCAGGAAGCGGTGTGGGTTCATAAATGGAAAAATGTAAAGTTATGCAGTCTGTTTTTCTCAGTTCTGTGGGACCTAGGTTAAAATAGCCGTTATGTTTGGTACAGTGTCATAGTTTCAACACCTTAGTTGATCAATGAATACTTTTAAACCAGCTCCTCTACTCTGCTCTGGTGAGGCCTCACCTGGAGTACTGTGTCCAGCTCTGGAGCCCTCAGCACAAGAAGGACGTGGAACTGCTGGAGCGGGTCCAGAGGAGGGCCACAAAAATGATCCGAGGGCTGGAGCACCTCTCTTATGAGGACAGGCTGAGAGAGTTGGGCTTGTTCAGCCTGGAGAAAAGAAGGCTGCGGGGAGACCTGATTGCAGCCTTTCAATACCTGAAGGGGCCTATAGGAAAGATGGGGAAAATCTTTTTAGTAGGGCCAGCTGTGTCAGGACGAGGGGTAATGGTTTTAAACTACAACAGGGTGGGTTTAGACTAGATATAAGGAAGAAATTCTTTACAGTGAGGGTGGTGAAACACTGGAACAGGTTGCCCAGAGAGGTAGTGGAGGCTCCATCCCTGGAAGCATTCAAGGCCAGGTTGGATGGGGCTCTGAGCAACCTGATCTAGTTAGCGGTGTCCCTACTCACTGCAGGGGGGTTGGGCTAGATGGCCTCTAGGGGTCCCTTCCAACCCAAAACTTTCTGTGATTCAAAGCATCCCCTCCGTGCTCCACCCCTTTTTTTTCTCTTCTCTTGGTCTGACCATTAATGTTTATGTAGCCTTGTAGTGACCTCAACAAAAGAGAAGTGACTTTAAAATGGAATTGATGCCTCTGTGTGCTTCCCTGTGCTGCTATGTAAATGCTTGTGCCTGCTGAAGGAGGAGGCTGGCCCTTCTTGTTTAGGGATTGATGGGATGATTGTTTTTAAGAGGGAAGATTGGTTTGAGCTTATTGTGGATTAGCGCTATAAATCAACATGTTGGCTTGTGGGTGTTTTTTTCCCCTCCATTTTAGTAACGTGATAAAGGGTACTCTTTTCTATGGGATTATATTTTCTGTGACCATTTTTAGACTTTTGGTGTCATTTGGTTTGAAAACTGCTCAGTTGAGCTGCGATAGAATGAAAAACAATGCCTAACTGTGGCAGCTAGGGCTGTAGCTGTCTGAGCTGATTGCTGTCTCATAACTGTCTTATGAGAATGCTTGAACTGCAAACTATTGGAAAGTAAAACTTGTTAGTCTTGGTGGATCAGTAAAATTAGACTTCATGTGTTAAAGGAAGAACTACTTTTATGGCCTAGTCTGTGAGCCCTGAATAGTCAATCATATTGAATACTGATTCATGTCCTTTCTTCTTGCAGCCTGAAGTTTTACACATGATTTACATGAGAATCCTGCAGAAGGTATATGGAATCCGCCTGGAGCACTTCTACATGGTACGTCCATAGTGACAGGTGTAACAAAAGGTGAAAGGAAAAATACTGCACTTAAAAAATTAAATGTTGAAGTATGTCCCTCTTACCTTCTCACTAGCAAATGGCAAGTAGCTTACTGGTTTTTATGTTGTAATTGTATGAATAGGATCTTAGAAATTCTGCCTCTCTTGCAGGAAACTTGTGTGTGAGATGTTGCATACCCATAGGTATTTGCATTTGTGTTCAGGGAGGCAACTAGTCTGTTCACTTAGGCAGGTATGAGAGCACAGTACTGTAGTGTAGCCATCAGCATGGGTCACTTACCAGGGGTAAATGAACCTGGGAGCATCATCTGTGGGCTGTTGCTGAGGCCTTGCTTCTGAGAAGTTGCTTTGATCATTGCTCCTGTGGAAGTTGGCTTCAGCTCAAGATACTTGTAGAAATAGTGGCTTTGTGGGTGCGCTGCCTATGGGTTTCTTTAATTCTTTTTTTTCTTCGTGGAGAGAAGACTCCCTTCTCCACTATAGAAACTTGTGGGCATGAAGAGATGCTCACTTACCACTGAGGGCTGTGAGGAAAGTCTCTGTGGAGAGCCCTCTCCTTCTGCGGTTAAGTTGTGAATTCTTTTCTTGGACATGCTTCAGGGACCAGAAATGTCTGTAAGCTCCAGGAGTGACTGGACAAGCTTATGAAGGGCCACCATCTCTGCCCTTAAAAATACATGCTCTCTTCTTGGGCCATTGCTGGAGGAATGTCCCTGCTTAGATGTTAGACTGGTCTAGGAGGAAAATAAATGTTGCTTTTAATGTTTGATCATCTCTACTTCTCCATTAACTGAGAGGAAAGTAAGAAGTGTAGCTGGAGATTAACTGATCCCTTGTTGATTAACACTTAGTTTGTTTTCTGTCTCTGTTAGACAAGAGCTGATTCGTGAAAGTGAGAAGAAATAGTGTTGTCTCGTGCCAGTTTTGGATAAACTGAAAGGGAAGATCATATGTGCAGAAGATAACTCAGTTCTTTACAGGCAGTGACATTAGCTGGGATACTGTATAATGGGTTTAAAATATCAGGAAAGGTGACAGTGTACCACTACTTTCTCCTTCTGACTTCTTCATAAAACAGTGAGTGTGTGAATTTCGGGGTGTTTAAAGAAAAAGCTTCTTGTTAGGTGTGTAATGCAGAGACTGTCCTGCACCGGTTTTGAACAAATTAAACTGGAGTATTTAGATTGAATTCCAGAGTTTGCAGTGTTACTGCTTTAGTTATTAATTGTCTTTTTATATTTTGACCAGCCAAAACTGACATTTAAAATAGCCTGCTGATTAACTTGATAGCATTCTTCAGCCTCTAACATGTTTCTGTGGATGGGGAGACCATCCTCAGTGTGTTTAAACTATTTCAATTATCTTATGTTGTGGAAACAACCCTGTGTATTTTCATTTAAGTATTCTCTACTTATACATTGGCTCTCTTTATTCTTTAGATGCCGGTCAACGTTGACATAATGTATCCACAGATATTTGAAGGCTTTCTACCTGTTTGTAACTTGTATATTCACATGTAAGTAGAAGATGCTGCATCTGTTAAGTTGCTATTCCTTGTAAAGGTCTAATTTACCAGAATTAGTGGGGCTTTATGTCTTTTTGCTTGTTGCCTCTGAGCAAAGTGAAATTTTCAGATGAACAGGGGACAACAATGTTTAACAGAGTAAAATTCTCAGCAAGCAGCTATCTTGTAAAATTGAATGTGTTAACAAATAATTGAGCCTCACCAAGATGGAGCACAAGTCTACTTTGAATGGCTAGAGGGTCATCATTACACCTAGAAGAGGGATGTTAAGTACCTGTTGTGTAAGTTTGCTGTCTGCATTCTGTGTAGATATCTCTGTTGCAATGAGGTGAGTGTTACAACTGAAATGAAGCTTAAAAGTTTAAGGGGAGAACTGACTAACAGTTAAGTGTAGGAGTTCCCTAATTAAGCTGAAAAGTTGTTCTACAGGCCAGTATTTTGTCTATAGAAATCCTTGAGATGCTGTAAGAATACAAATTTTTAATGCTCATCTGTGTGTGGAGTCCTATTGTGTTATTCTCCTGAGGCTTACTGTTGTCTTGTGCTTGCTGTGCATATGCCCTGGGATGAGAGGACAAGATCTGTTTTGTAGTAAATTGATATCCACAAAACCTGAGTAGTGGTCACTGCAGATAAGGTTGTATTTTGTTTTCCTTGCAGGGAGCGCTTACTTCCAGTGTGCCGGATTAATGATTTTCAAATTGCTGATGTGTTAAACCCAAGTAAGCAAGTACATTGTAATCCTTGTGTTTCTTGGGGTGGTAGGTGTCAATTGATATCCAGGTGCTTTTTCTCATTTGGCATGGCCAGATGGGCATCTAGTATGGAGAACTGTCCCAGGCTCCCAGCTGCAATTCTGACTCTTGCTGTGGCCCTTAGACAAGCTGGTTCTAATGAGGAGTTCTCCTTATTCCTTATGTAGGATAATCTGATTAAATAACTGAGGGGAGTTTTGAGCGCTACGAGTCTGTTGAACTGCTGGTCTGGTGAGCGGACTGTGACATAATTGAAATAGTGTAAGAATAGATGGTAATGAAAATTAGCCTGATGACTCTGGATTTCTTACGCTGGTGCCTATATAAGAAGCAATTGAATTTTTGCTTCATTCTTTCCAATACCCAGCAGTCGTGATTCTGGTACAACTTAGAAAAGGCTATTCTAAAGAACTCTTTTGTTTCTGTCTCTGCCTTGACTAAGACATTCAAGGCCTTTGTAATCATCTTTCACAAGTTTTTGCTTGGAATAGAGCTAAAAAGTCCCTGCAGTTCAAACTGCTG